TGGCCGATCAACGCTTTTGACGAGATATCTCGCGATCCGGTCGTAACGGATTAACACTTTTGACGATAATCTAGCTTTCTAGCACCAATATTTTGACATTCTAGATGAATATATTTTATAACTAATTCTATTCGTATAGCTAAAAGGAAGAAATAAATACAGCTACTACCGTATCGCGAGATATCTCGTCAAAAGCGTTGATCGACTACTACCGGGTCGCGAGATATCTCGTCAAAAGCGTTGATCGGCCAGTATTGAGTCGCGAGATATCTCGTCCAAGGTAACGAAAGGGTTAAAAGAAAAACTCCGATCGAGAGAATTCGTAAAGCGAGAACTGCCTGTACGTGGAGTTACCAAATACCACGCAGCCGAATAAAACATCCCCCCCGTCACGTTTTCGTCCACAACTCTATCTCGGAAGGGAACGGATTAGTGATGGGACGAGTTGAGTATTTCAACTGGTTAAACTCGAGTCAAGCATATATTCGAATCAACCCGAGTCGTTTTAATTGTTACAAACGAATGCGAGGTACGAGGGGAAGAACGAGACCGAGATGCCAATCGCGCCTTATTTCCTTATTCGAGTAATCGTCGTTCGATTCGTTTAACTCTCGAACTCATTGACTCGACTCGTCGCGCCGAATATACGCGGCATCGAGTCGTCGACTCGAGTTGGCAATGTTCGAGTAACTCGAGTCGATGACGCCCTCGACTCGGTATATCACTTAGCTCGAGTAGTTAAGGTGAAGTGAAACCCCCTTCAAATCAGTCGATTCGAATACAACACTTTTTTTTTAAGGGTATTGGACCAAACTGTCCGAAGCTTTGACACATGACTCGCGATCAACTAAGAATTGTCCTGACACATTTAAAATTTGAATTTTTGGAATAAAATTTTTTAACTTAGTTCAGACCAGAACCAAAATGGCGTCGAGCTCTCATATTTCGATCAATATACAATTATTGTAGTCTCTGATATGAGAAACGAAAGGATCAGGACAATTTTACGACAATTTAGAACACTCTGGTAATCGATAAACTCGCATTTGAACGAGATAAAGGCAAAAAAAGTGTTGTATGCGCTTCTATGCTAAAACGATGGGAATACGAGGTCTCGGAGTAAAAATTTAATTGACCTGGAAATCATAGATGGCGCAGGGTGTCCCTCTGCAGTGAATTAGGGCCCCAGAAAGCAGTAATTCAGAGGATTTCTGGACATTTACTTCGATTTCTTGATATTTATTGTACGAAAACGACAGGTGGAGTATGCCATTTGGTACAATACCCAATATAATTCGGCACAGCTGTCAGTATAAAAACGAACGTCGGCAACGTAGGCATTTAGAAAAAACTTCTTTATCGACGTCGATCAAGTTCCTCGACGTGTTTCACTTCACCTTAATCGAATGATTTTATTCGCCAACTCGCCATAGACTACCCTCGCCGCGTGGAATGTTTCCTCCGAGTTATCGACTCGAGTCCAAATTCGAGTTGTCCCTGCTCTCGAATTCGAGTAACTCGAGTTGGTAAAGTATTCGACTCGTCGCGTCGCCAGAGCGGATGTGTTGGTCCGAGGGGGTATCTCCCCAGGAAATCGCAAGCAGAGATCCCTGGACACCGTTGTAAATCCCCGAAAACCTGGCAAAATTAACGACCGATCGTCCCTCGCCATCGAATCGCACGAAATCAAAGGCGATCGGTTCTCAAAGAAGGAAATCGCTGTCATAGATTTCCGGGCGAGCATCCCCTCGGGCTGGCCTGCGCAAACCGTCGGGACGTTCGAGCAAGCGGCGCGTCCCGATCGAAAGACAAACGCCAAATTCGCGTCCTCCGGCCAATCCGGACTGCGACCCGACGAAGAGATCGAGCATACGTACCTTCACAAGGGAGCAAGATCGCATTACATCCGATAAACGGCTCTACCTCGTCGCCGGACGGAAGAAGGATGCCCGGGACGTGAGACGCGGCCGCCGGCTAATCGGCACCGGGCGATAAGCAAAGGCAAAAGCAAAAGCAAAAGCAAAGGCAAAGGCAAAGACAAAGACTCGCTCGCAAATGGCAGTTCCGGCCGGCCCCGGTGCCAATGGCCGTATCTCGAGCCCGGTATCGTTGGAGCGGTGCCATCCTCGGAGCGTTCTAGGAATACAACGACTCGTCGTCGATACGTCTAAGGCCGTAAGTAACCGCATCCTCCCCGGCGTTACTAATTGAGATTCAGCGGTGCTCGTAATGGGCCGAAATAACACGGATTCCAATCCGAAGAATAGCGGAGGGGAAATATGGGTGGCCATTCGTCCCGGCGCAAAATCACCGAGCGGGGAGGTGGCCCGGACAGAGACGGATAGCCGAGTCTCGGGAGCCAAGGAGCGAGAGGGGCGCCCCTGGTAGCCGGCGGCGAGGACGGGAACCAGCCAGCAGGCCCTCGGCTCGCGGCTCCCAGATTTATGCGTCCCGCCTCGCAGCGCTGATATCCGAGAACTCACGGCCCCGTTCCGCTCGTAATGAAAGAAATAAATTTACTCGGCGATGCTCGGAGGATCGGAGAGGAGAGCCCGGGGCCGAGCCGGGGCCCGAGTCTCCTCTTCTTTATGCGTTCCTCACGCGAGACGTTCCCTCCGTTACCCGCGAACGCCCACGTTAGCCTCTAAGCGGGGCTCCGGAACCGGAGGGAGGGAGGACAGAGGCGAGAGTTATGAAAGTAGCTCGGACGGCCACGGAGTAATGGGAGGCGGGTGGGTAATAATGGTTAGCGGCCCGGTGATTTAGACGTCGCGCCGGGCCGCACCGAGTGACACCACCTGCGTACGTCATTCTACAAACGTGTTTATTAAAGCGGTATGGAAACTCAACGATATTTACAGGTCTTATTTACAGGACGAGCGCCGCATCTCGCGGGGCGCGGACGACCTCCGACCGCTCCGAGCCTCCGCGACCGCCCGGACGGGTCCTCGGCTCGCGCAACTACCGAATCCCCTTTCGCACTTTCTCCAAACAATATCGTAATATCACAGTTATACAATGGACATTTGGTGCGCCGTCCTCGGGGGGAGCCGAGCCTTCCGAGGCGATAACGAAAACGCGAGCCGGAACCGTTCCGCGGTCCTTCTCCGAATCGGCGAAACCGTCTCTCCGGCGAGACGCGAAAAGAAATCCCAAGTACGTATACCGTGTGTGTGTGTGTGTTTTTTCTTTTTCCTTTTTCAGATGCGATACGCGCGTTTCAAAGGTGCACGCTCCTCGTTCGTCCGGGCATTCGGCGGCCGTCGGCCGATCCGCGACCGAGAGAGATCTGCCCCGACGCCGCGTCCTCTCGGACCGACCGCTCGCCTCCGTCGTCGCCGGAGCCCGCCCGCGCCCCTCGGCGGGGCCGTCTTCTCGCGACGCGCCCTTAACTCTCAAGATATATATACTATNATATTCTTTTAAATAGAGGTCTACTTTACAGGAGTGCACGCGGGGCTATGTACAGAGCGGGGCGCCGGCGCGGAGCCAGATTACGGGTGGACGGCGGCGCCGATCCGCTGGCCGTAGATGGCGTACGGCGAGTAGTAGGGCCCGAGGGCGTTGAAGGCGCTGTAGGGCGAGGCGGCCAGCGAGGCGGGCAGCGGCCCGGTGGGCGGCTTGCCGTAGGGGTGGTACCTGGCGCCCAGCGGGCTGAGCGACGGCGCGGGGTAGGAGCCCCCGCCGGCAGCGGCGGCCGCGGCCGCGGCGGCGGCGGCGCGGTGCAGGGCCGCGGACGGCGACAGCAGCGGGTGCGGGTGCGGCCCGGCCAGGAGGGCGGCCGCGGCCGCGGCCGACGTCGAGGGGTGCTGCTCCCCGGCGGCGGCTGCCGCGGCGGCGGCGGCGGCGGCGGCGCCGCTCGCCAGGCTCGTGTGGCTGCGCAGGTGCTGGAGCAGCTCCTCCGAGGTGGAGAAGCGCTTGCCGCAGTACGACTCGCCGGCGATCCAGTTGCACACGTAGGGCCGGCCGCCGGCCAGGGACGAGGGGTAGGCGAGCGACGGGGGCGGCATGGGGCCGAGGCTCGACAGGGCCATGGCGAGGCCGTACTTCTGGTGGTCGCACTGCGTGCACCCGCTGGGGCAGGTTCCCGCGGCGGCGCCCATCATCATCTGGGCGTTGTGCATGCTGAACTGGCACCCGGTGCAGTAGGGGTCCTTGCAGACGGGCACGAGGGCCTCGCCGCCGGCGGGCGTCTTGACGCGGGCGTAGCTGAGGTAGGGGCTGCCGGAGCCCCCGCCGGCGGCGGCGGCGGCAGCGGCGGCCGCCGCCGCGGCGCTCTGCCCGGCCGACGGGTAGCCGCCGAGGAGAGCGGCCGCGGTGGCGTGGTGGTGCGAGAAGGGCGAGGCCCCGGCGAAGGGCGGCCGGAAGGCCGGGTTCTCGGCGAGGCCCGGCGGGCAGCAGAGCGGGCTGCCCGCGGCGAAGGCCGGCACGCCGCCGCTCTTGTAGCCGGCGGCCAGGGCGGCCGCCGTGGCCGCGTCCTTGCCGTGCCCGGCCAGGATCTCCATGCCGGAGCGGACGATGGGGCTGGCGCCGGCGCTGCCGCGCGGCGACTCCGCGCTCTTCTCGCGCTCGGCCGGCGTCTTGCGCTCCGAGAGCGACGGCGGCGTGCCCGTCGCGGCGCCCCCGTGGTGCGCCGAGCCCGGCGAGGCCGATTTCCGGCCCAGCGGGGTCCGGTGGCCCGAGCTCTTCTTCTCGGAGCCGGTCGTGTCACTGCCACTCGCGCAATCCTGCCGGTCACTCGCACTGTGCACACTCGCCTTCGAGGTCGGCCGTCCCTCGTCCGACGGCGACTTCTTCGACACGACGTTGGTCTCGTAGGGCTTGAACGCCAGCGGCTTCGAGTCCGACGGGCTGCCGCGGGTCCGCTCCATCTTGGCCGCCGGCGGCGAGCGCGCGCTGGACGCTCCCAGTCCCTTCGAGTGCTTGTCCAGGGGCGAGATCAGCGGCTTCGACGGCGAGTCCGCGCCGATCTGGCTGCATGTCTGGGCCAACAGCGCCAGCGGACTCTTCTTCGCGTCCAACTGTAACACGATCAATGGACGTCTTTTATTATAGGACGCAGCGGCCGAGAGTGTTGAGATGTCGAATCGTGGAAGCGCCCGGCAATTGGTACCTCGGTCCGCGCAACGATCTACTTTGCAGTCTTTCTTTGCGGCTATCTCGCGCGACGGCAACCGGAGATCGAACGGGAAAAACGGGCCAATCATCCCGAATAGTTGCCCAATGTAAGGTTTGCCGCGATTAATTTTCTACAATTTCGTTCTTCCCGTTTGCCTCCCGGCTACCGTCGCGCGTGATACTTGCGAAGGCCTTAACTGCGGATCGCCGCGGAAGCAGCAAAGTACGAAAAAGGAATCGACGTTCCCGAGCCGGAGCGACGGAAAACGGTGCGGTGACATAAGTGGCGCACGATCCGAACGAAAAGAAGGAAATTGGTATTCCCAGAAATGAAGGATTAAAAATCGTCCAGGGCTTCGCTGCCGAAACTGTATCTATTTGTAAGAAGTCGAGTGTCCACTGCGGCGAGTAAAGAGACGAATCGCGACTCGCGAACATGTCCGAAACGCTCCCTCGTCTCTCGATAAAATAAAACCGCCTCTTCTCTCAACTAGAAAAATTAGTTATCGGTGAACCGCCCAATAGTATTTTTCTTCGATGCGAGACGCGCAAACGACGCGTTCACAATTTCCAGAAATTACCGAGATAGACCCCACGTTCGTTTTTTTTTTTTAATATAAAAAAAGCAGCGCAACTCCGATTCGGTCACACAATCGCGACGAACACGATCCGTGCCGTTCCTTCCCACATAATTTTTTACACAACCGCATAATGTATCCATCGCGAATTTCAGAATCTCAATTATCAATAAACGTTAGACTGTATACCAATCGCGCGGATAACGAAAAAACGAAATTGCTTTCCGAAAGACGAGAAACCTCCCGAACTCGCGCAAGAAATCTAACCACCTTCCGAACCAACGAACAATGAATTTCTCTGAGCATATTAGAAACAGGAAAAACGGTAAGGATAAACCGTTTTGACTTTCCCCGCAAAAAATCGGAATTGCGGCTCCGTAGAGTTCTTGAAAGAAAAAAGTGCGCATATTCTTCGTCGGGTTTCAACGCAATCGGGATTTCGTAAAAATTCCACCCCTTCATAAAATTTGCAGCATCCTCAAACGTGGAACTTCGCTTCCAGGAGCAAAATCTTCATGCACGAGCGCGTTCCTCCTTCCGTCGCCCTAAGTATGGCCTTCTCGATGATCCGACGTAAAAAAATGTAAAAATTCGTATTTCGAGTACTAAGGGAACACGCGTCGTTATCCGAGATAGGATCGTTGTTTAAATTTCGTTATATGGAGTGGTTCGTGGAGGTTTCGAGGCGTCGCTCGATGCGACGGCGAGCAGGCGCCGCGGCGGCGGGTGCCGTCGCATCGCGCGCCGACGGAACACTTCCAGACGCCGACTGAGCCATTAAATAATGAACATCGGAGGCAATTCGAGAGGACGATCGATGATCGGCAGATTTTCACACCCCACTCCGGATTATTGAACCATTTCGAGTCCAGCTTCACCAAAATCTGGCTGAAAGCCTTTGAACCAGATTACAAAGAGTAAAAACGGAAAATCTTCGGAGAAGCGGATCTTCCGCGTTTACACAGTGCTTTTGAGGTAATTGAAGTTGGTTTAACGATATGAACGTTTTAGTCCACGGAGAAGAGAAACTTACAAGGAAGGTATCCCGGGTCGATCTCTCCGATTTCATTTTTTTTATAATATGTTACAGTAGACTGAAAACTAAGCGACACGTATTTTTTTATCTGCCATTAAACACTTTAAGGAGGTGAAATTATCATCCAAAGGCCTGCGAGAGGTGGCTCACCTCAATTTTCTTTTTAATTCAGAAAATTATATTTTTCATCTCTCGTTATGAGAAAGCTTTTCCAGGTGGATTGGTTAAGAAATATTATGTTCTTGTGGGTGAAACTGCCAAATCGCCCGTTGAGATGAATAATTTGAATATTGGTTTCACCGCCTTAAAGTGTTTAATGGCAGATAAAAAAAATACGTGTCGCTTAGTTTTTAGTCTACTATATCATAAAAGAATGAAATCGGAGAGATCGACCTGGGATACCTTCCTTGTTATACGAAAGGATGTTCAATCAGACTATGACTTATTATTCTCCCATGAATCCGGAAATTTGGATACTTGGTTTCGTTGAATGGTGGATCTTCAAGATGCGGTACGAGTTTTCATTTTTACGGGGTTTAGGGAGAGCAAACCGATCCCGACGGAGAACGGAGAGGTCGGAAAGGAAATTTTCTTTTCCGGAAAATTCCGCCGATATTTTCCCCTCGAAACGTAAAAGCGCGAGTTCCAATCTGCCGTCAATCGCGAACACCCAAAGTCACTTTATATACTGCGCTCTTTTCTCCAGAGGAAGAAGAATCTGGTTTCGCGCGAACGAAATCTCGATGCGACTCCGGAGACGGAGCCCGTCGCGCGACTGCACTCTTTCCAAACATAAAGGGCGGACCACAAACGACCGAGACTGCACTTTCACGATCCACAAAGAAGCCTAAGCGAGGCCAGGTAGGCGAAATTCTAATATTTCCCCAGGAGCGCTCCGGCCGACTGCGAAAAACGCACAAAGGGATCTTTGCGCGGAGCGTTTCTCCTCGCCGCACGGGTGGTCGAAAGAGAAAACGGCCCCTGTGCGGAAAGCGAGAAACGCCAATAAATCGCGTTCGAGAAAGGCCCTCGGAGCCGGAGTCCGTCCTGGGAGGCGCGCCCGGGTCCTGGCACGGCGACCTCGTACTAACCGTGGTTGGAAGCGGAGACAGATAATCCGGTTGTAAGTACTGATTGTGTCCGCTGGTCAGCATGCCGCCTTCCTCGAGCACAACCATTTGTTCTCGCACTAACTCTCCCAGGAGTGCACTTCACCAACAACACACAAATAGATTCCTCGAGGTCCGTCCAATCTCCGGCGGCGGGGTCACGGACCGAGGAGCGAAACTAGAGGGCCGAGCTGACGACGCGAGGACGCGCGATACGTTCCGCTCGAAATCCAGGAAAATAATGCCGAGGAGAGCGGACCCTCCGAGTGCGCGGAGTGGAATGCGCCCGCGGCGCCATCTGGCGGCGGCGGCCCCCCACTCCGGCGCCGCCGGCCGGGGAGGGGCGCGGCTCGCCGGAACCCCGGGAGGTGGGGAGGCATTCTAATTCAACACGCCACCCATGATGTTGGCCCGACGATGACAGCTCCCATCCCGGCTTTGATATTTCACCGCTTTTACAGCCCGCTCCCCCCCACCCCCGGCCGTCGTCCCGCCGGCCGACGAACCGTCACCGCGGCACGGCAACCCGATATTTTATACCGTGAAACCTGTCCGTCTCCGCCGCCCGACCCCGCTTAATAAGCAGCTTTCAAAATAGAAACGTAATGGTCGCGCGCGCCGCCGGGGAGGGACGTCGAGTGATCGATTGCTCGCCGGCCGACTTACCGACCGCGCGCTCCCCTCGCGGGACCTAACGAATGACGGCCACTTAGGTGGTATTTGCCTACTATTTCGTGAAAGCGTTTTAATTATCGCCCCGCTGCGGGGCCCACTCGCGGGAATTAATCATCCGGCTGCGCCGCGCCGACCGCGCCGACCGCGCCGACCGCGGCCGCCATTCGACGCCGTCGGACGCCATCGGACGCCATCGGACGCCATTGGACGCCGAGTGGCGGCCATCTTGCTTCCAAGGAACTACGTCTAACGCGACTTTCTCGCCGCCGCGTCGCGCCGATCGCCGAGAGGATAGTGCCCGCCGAGCCAGCGCCGACCGCAGTCGGGGGGACGCCGCGTAACGGGCAGGTCCGTCGCCTGCGGATGCCTCGTTCACGACTTTACGCGTTTACGTCCCGCCGATAACGATGCGGTTGAATAATCCGAGGGTTCCAGGAATCGAGGAAGAGGCGCGAGCGTCGGCGTTTCCTGGAAATCATCCCAAGACGTCCACGCGACGACGCGTTTCGCATTTTTAACGCGATTCCAAATGTATTTACCGATTGGGAATAAATGTGTACCAGAGTACGTATTGGGTTGTTTGGAAAGTAATTTCGAATTTTTTTATGAAAATGAATGACGATTTTTTTATAGCGAATAAATATTTTATCGAATTATGTATTGTCCATTCTGGTCCAATACCTTTTGCCATCTTTCTGGCAGGAGCATGATTCCACGCTCATACAATGTTTGGTTTTTGTTGTCACAAAACTGATCCAGGTGATTTTTGACCTCCTTGTTTGAAGTAAAGGTTTTACCGTCTAAAAAATTTTGTAGAGACCGGAACAAGTAGTAATTAGAAGGTGCCAGGTCTGGAGAATATGGTGGGTGTCGCAGTATATCCCATCCAAGCTGTAGAAGCTTTTGGCGAGTTAAGAAACTTGTATGAGGTCTCGTATTATCTTGGCGAAACACTACACCTTTTCTATTGATCAATGCTGGTCTCTTCTGTTTAAGTGAATCGTTCAATTTGTCCAGCTGGTGATAGTACACTTCAGAATTGATCGTTGCGTTGTTCGGTAGAATCTCAAAAAAAAACGATTCCTTTGAAATCTCACCAAACAGATACCATCACCTTTTTTTTGATGAATTTCGGCTTTCGAAGTTCTTTGAGCCGGTTCATCTTTTTTACTCCGTGACCTCTTGCGTGTAACATTGTTGTAAACAACCCATTTCTCGTTCCCAGGGATGATGCGCTTAAAAAATGGATCATTTTCTTGACGTTTGAGAAGCAAATCACAGACGTCAATGCGATGACAAATTTCTTTCCGCAAGAACACGAGGAATCCATATGTCGAGCTTTGAAATTAAACCTAGGCGTTTCAAATGATCATGAACGGTCGAATTCGATAAATTTAATCTCTCAGCGATTTCACGAATTGTTATTCGCCGGTTTGCATCAATCAATGCCTTTATTGTGTTTTCATCAGCTTTAAGTGGCCATCCAGGACGTGGGGCGTCTTCAATATCAAAATTGCCGGATCGAAATTTTGCAAACCAGTTTTGACCCTGGCGTTCCGTTGATACATCTTCTCTATCCACGTCGGATCATTTTTTTCTTGCTTGAACAGCATTTTTACCTTTTCGATAGTAAAAGAGTAAAATATGCTGAAAATGCCGCTTTTCACTTTCCATATTTGAAAGGGTACCAACCAAAAACTACTGCGTAGAATCAATCAAACTTTTTCACGAGCAAGCCTTGCTAGATCAGCTGTCAAAATATATAATGATTATGCGGCTTAAGTGTGAAGTTGGCCGTGAAAAAAGAAAATTAAGTCCTCTGTTAGGAAACAACGAAATTACTTTCCGAACAACCCAATAGTTTGGCCGTATTTATCCTGGGATACTTCATGTAACGCGCAACGTTTAGGATTATTTAATGCACTGAGAAATATGTGTCATTCTACCGAAGAAATATTTCGTTCATTCCAAGAATAATTGTCTCACTCAAACTGGAATAAATTGGGTGCAACATTCATTCGGACTTGGCCTCGGTATTTTATTCTTGGAATTAACAAAATATTTCTTTGGATGGATAAATTCTTTCTCTCAGCCTGTCCATGTATTACTTGGTAATGCAACTTGACCGATAGACGTTGGACGGGCAAACGTTTATATCTTGTTCTCTTGTCCAAATTTAATGTTATGGGTTTAAGGTGAAGTGAAACACCCTTCAAATCAGTTGATACGAATACACACTTTTTTTTAAGGGTATTAGACCAAACTGTCCGAAACTTTGACCATTCCTCCAGATCATCTAAGAAATGTCCTGACATATTCAAAATTTGGATTTTTGGAAACAATTTTTTAACATAGCCCAGACGAGAACCAAAATGGCGTTGAGCTCTCATATTTCGATCAATATACAATTATCGAGGGCTCTGATATGAGAAACGAAAGGGTCAGGACAATTTTACGACAATTTAGAACACTCTGGTAATCGATAAACTCGCATTTAAACGGGACAAAGGCAAAAAAAGTGTTGTATGCGCTTCTATGCCAAAACGATGGTAACACGAGGTCTCGGAGTGAAAATTTAATTGACATGGAAATCACAGATGGCGCAGGGAGTCCCTTTGCAGTCAATTAGGGCCCCAGAAGGCGTGAATCCAGAGGATTTCTGGAGTTTTTCTTCGATTTCTTTATTATTATTGTACAAAAACGACAGGTTGAGTATGCCGTTTAGTACAATACCCAATATAATTCGACACAGCTGTCAGTATAAAAACCAACATTGGCCACGTAGGTATTTAGAAAAATCTTCTTTATCGACGTCGATGAAATTCTTCGACGTGTTTCACTTCACCTTAAAAACACGGAAATTGGTAGCTCTATCTTTTTTTTATGAAATGACACGATTATCCTTGAGGAAAGAACGAACGATCGCTGATATTTATGTTTTACGGAAGCAGTGCCTACGTTAGTCTCGCGTTTCTACGAAATCGTAGTTACGTGATAATTGCTAAAGTTCTGAAATCTTTCATTGCGATAAAGTCAAGAAGAGGTATGTAATAAAGACATTCAGACTTATATTTAGACCCCGCAGGCTTGAGTACGCGTTCGCACAGGCGACTTTAGAAAAGTTTGCTTTCCGGTGCTGTCAGCTGTATTAATTACTCCCATTTGAAATATTTCTTTCTCGTTGGTTTAATATCTGCTCGTAAATTTAACACGTCAGTTTATCGGGATAAATCACATGTTCCGAACGGTGTACGCACTGTAGACGTTGCGCGTACAGATAACGCGTATGGAGTGGAAATGTATAAAGTGTTCTACTCGGTACACTTACAAGGACGGTATCCCAGATCGATCTCTACGATTTCATTTCTTTTATAATATGTTATAGTAGACTAAAAATTAAGCGACACGTATTTTTTGTATCTGCCATTAAATACTTTAAGGGGGTAAAACCACCGTCCATTGTATAAAAAAAAACCACCGTCGCCGTCCGAGACTTCTATAAATATAGAATGGCTCTATCTTTATGAGTTTGCCTTAAAAATATTACCGGGCATTGATATATGACGCGTTGATTTTTCGTATACAATGTTGTAGTAGACTAAAAACTAAGCGACACGTATTTTTTTTTATCTGCCATTAAACACTTTAAGGGGGTGAAACCTCCATCCAAAGTAAGGCATCTCAAGGGGCGATTTGGCAGTTTCACCCACAAGAACATAATATTTTTTAACAAGTCCACCTGGAAAAGCTTTCTCATAACGAGAAATGAAAAATATATTTTTCTCAATTAAAAAAAAAAATTAAGGGGTGAGCGTTCGGGGGTAGTTGCCCCGGCCAATATTTTTTTAGGGTAAATCCAAAGACACGTCGTATTTACTTCGTGTTCATACATAATATATGTCTTTTTCAGATTTTTAGACTTGAATTTGACCATTTTTTGCATAAATGTAATCATATTTAGGGGTGGCTCACCCCTTAATTTTTTTTCTTTTAATTGGGAAAATTATATCTTTCATTTTTCGTTATGAGAAAACTTTTCCAGATGGAATGGTTGAAAAATGTTATGTTCTTGTAGGTGAAACTACCAAATCGCCCCTTGACATGCCTTACCTTGGATGGTGGTTTCACCCCCTTAAAGTGTTTAATGGCAAATTAAGAAAATACGTATCGCTTAGTTTTTAGTCTACTACAACATTGTATAAAAAAAATCAAATCGGAGAGATCGACCTGGGATACCTTCCTTGTTAGTATATACTTTCTCGATGTAACGGTTCTGCGCACAGTGATTCCGATAATTAGATTGATCGAAGCACTTCATCTTGAAACCAGTATCAGGGGTCTCAAGAGTACAGGAGTGATGAGAAATCTCATAAAAGACTAAGTTCTGTAATTTATCTCGAGATAACTGCGCATGTGCAAGACGCTGAGGAAGTGCTTACACGTCATATATCAATGCCCGGTAATATTTTTAAGGCAAACTCATAAAGATAGAGCCATTCTATATTTATAGAAGTCTCGAACGGCGATATCAACTTTTTCAGATATGTATGAAGGACTGGGGCCAATTGTTACATTACTTACAAGGAAGGTATCCCAGGTCGATCTCTCCTATTTGATTTCTTTTATATTTT